AAAAAAAAAAAAAAATAATAATCAAAACGCTACCCTGATGAGTTTTCCACGAAATCATCGCGTTGAATCTCTGAAGTTCGCGTTGACTTGAGTGCTCATGACACTGCTTTCTTCGCGACGACTCAAGTACAAATAATACTGTGAATTTCGAACCAATTTCCTTGTTTAAGAAGAAATAGATAAAATGTGCGGAAATTAACATTTGTAAGGCTGTTGGCACGTTTAGGACGTTTACCCTCCGAAAAATGACGCTGAAGTCGATGCGCTTTCACAAAACTCAAAATGTATAGATTCACAAAAGCACGCTCAAAATATCATATCTATTGAGAAAAAAAAAAGAAAAAAAGAAAAAAACCCGTTGCATGTACTTTACTTACTCACCAAACGAAGCCAACCATAGGAAAACGATGGAAACTAAAAAAATCTTCATAGGGCTTGCAACGGTGGCTCACTTCAGTTTCAGCTCAGTTCAGGTTTTTTATTGTTTTTCAAGACGAACTTAAATTTATTTAGAGTGACATCTGTTTCTTGTTGACAGAGTAAATTTAGCTTGCGCCTGGCACCGGCACATGTTGGTAACATGTCAGCTCATCGTCCTTAACCACTGAAATGGTTGCATTTGTTCAGTTCCTAAAGATATACAATTTGTAATTGTATATCTGGACTAAAATTATTATAAAACTTGAATGTTTCAGTTAAACACCTGTAATAAAAAAAAAAAACGGTTTAGTCTTGCTTTGGGTTTGGTCGAAGTATTCTCTATTATCCATATTAAGAGCAGGGCTGTTTAAAGACTTTCAAACCACAAAAGCTAAGCTAACAAAATCGAACATTTTAACCAATCACTGGAAAACTAATTTATTGAGGAAACAAATATGATCTCTTTAAGAATATTTTTAATCATAGTTCTCATTTTGATGAACCTTTGCATTCACTTTTCTTACTCTCTAAAGGAAGCCAACTATAGGAAAACGCGGATTGAAACTAAATTAATAAATCTTGATAGGGGTTGCAGATTTCAGTAACGGTGGTACGGTTCACTTCAGTTCTTTCTCACAGTTTTTTATTGTTTTTCAAGGCGAGTTTAAATTTATTTAGAGTGACATCTGTTTCTTGTTGACACAGTTCAAGGGATCTAAAGTTCAGTGAAAGTTAGCTTGCGCTTGGCACCAACATGTCAGCTCAACGTCCTTAATCTCTGAAATGGTTGCATTTGTATCCTATGGATGGAAATTGTATATCTGGACTAAGATTATTGTAAAGATTGAAATTTTCAGTGAAACACCTGTAGTAAAAAGCGGCAATCCGTATTATCCATATTAAGACGAGGGCTGTGTAAAGACTTTCAAAGCCCAAAAGCTAAGCGCAAAAAATTGGACATTTCAACCAATTACTGGAAAACTAATTTATCGAGGAAACAAACATGATCTCTTTAAGAACATTTTTAATTTCAGTGATCTTACATTGTCATAACGATATTTATAACTCCAGTATTTACATGAAGTCAAGTAATTGAAAAATTGTAAAAACAAAACCTCTCAGGCGAAATGAAAGGTCCATCGGCTTAGAACAAATTAAAACTCAAAACGTTTTATACATTCCACTGGCAGCAG